CAAGTTGTGGGGTTAGAGCAGGGATTGAGGCCATACCTGCACTCAGCACCATGGGGATGGTTCCTTTGGTTTCTCCCAGGTGGTGGAGGTGAAGGTGCCAGCTGCTCTGTCCAGCTCTGGTCCCTGAGCTGCTGCACAGCATGGTTTGGGATAGGTTTGGGAAAGGGCCATGTCCCACATGAGCATGTGTGTGGGGGGCTCCACAATTCATCCTTCTCCTCTTTCCTTGCAGGGGTTCAGGTACCTGTACCTGACTCCCCAGGACTACACGAGGATCAGCACCATGAACTCAGTGCGCTGTGAGCACGTGGAGGAAGGTGGAGAGTCCAGGTGAGTCCCATATCCCATGAGACACATGGAGCCACCCCAAGCTCTGCCCTACACCCCACCAGGATGCACCTCCCACCTCAGCATCCTGCCAGGCACATCATGCAGGTGAGTTCTTCCCACACCATGGCTGCACTTTCCCTGCAGGTATGTCCTGCTGGACATCATTGGGAAGGACAATGGATTTGGGGTGGAAAACCTGAGAGCTGCTGGTACCATTGCTGGGGAGTCCTCCCGTGCCTATGATGAAATAGTGACCATCAGCATGGTACAGTGGGGCCCTTCCCCCCTCTGCTCCTTCCCTCTCTCCTGCTGGCTCTTAAAGTCACCATGGGAGGGGTAACAGGATGCAACAAGCCCTTCACAGCACCCTTCTCCAGCTCTGTGCTGCAGCCCCAGTGACCCCACGTGTCCCTTTGTGTGTGCCCAGGTCACCTGTCGTGCCATCGGGATCGGTGCCTACCTGGTGAGGCTGGGCCAGCGTGTCATCCAGGTGGAGAACTCCCACATCATCCTCACGGGTGTCACAGCTCTCAACAAGGTACCAAGCTCTGGCTGCATGTCCTCCATGGTACTGTCCTTCTCACCACTACCTGTGTGGGCTCCTTCCCTGTCCCATGGAACATCAGCCTGGACAGAGGTGGAGATTCGGCCAAAGCCCAGAGGGAATTTGCCTGTGCAGAGGTTTGGGCTGACAAACAGAGCAAGGGAGCAGCTCCTGTGTCAGCAGAGCCCCGTGTGTTTCCCTTGGGAACTCTGTCTAGGTGCTGGGACGGGAGGTTTACACATCCAACAACCAGCTGGGAGGAGTGCAGATCATGCACAACAACGGCGTTTCCCATGTCACTGTCCCAGATGACTTTGAGGGGGTCTACACCATCCTGCAGTGGCTCTCATACATACCCAAGGTACCCAAGGGTGCTGCAGGGGGAGGTGGGGGATGTCACCCATACCTGGCTGCTGACCTGCCATTGGGGTCTGCCTTACAGGATAACCAGAGCCCAGTTCCTGTCACTGCCATAAGTGACCCTGTTGAAAGAGAAATTGATTTTGTCCCTTCCAAAGTCCCCTATGACCCCAGGTGGATGCTGGCAGGGAGACCCCATCCAAGTAAGTGAGAACAGCCCAAGACCTGTGCAGCTCTGCTCCCAAATGCCTCCTGTAGGTGCAGAAGTGCTCTTGGCTGTGGGTTGGTGCTCAGGAACCCTTCAGTGTTTGCCCTTGCGCCATTCCATGTTTCCCTGTGCTCTGCAGCTCTCAAAGGGACCTGGCAGAGTGGCTTCTTCGACCAGGGCAGCTTCATGGAGATCATGAAGCCGTGGGCTCAGACCGTGGTGGTTGGCAGAGCGAGGTACTGCCAAGTGCAAGGGATGGAGCTGGGATCCTGCATGTGTGGCCCCTCATCTTCAAGCCCTGGCTGTGGCACTGCTTTTGGGGTGGTGAAGAGGGAGCAGCTCTCTGGTGGGGCTGGGGTGGAGGGGACCTGGCCTTGCTGAGCCCAGCCTGCCCTGTCACAGGCTGGGAGGTCTCCCCGTGGGTGTCATCGCTGTCGAGACCCGCACTGTGGAGGTGACAATACCTGCTGACCCTGCCAACCTGGACTCAGAGGCAAAGGTGAGTGGGGTACAGCTGGGGCCAGCTGGCATCTGAGAGGAGCTTGAGGGAAGGGAGGAGGAATAGCTCAGCATGATCTTTGGACATAATTTCCCTTAATTCAGGTGAAATCAAGAGTGCTGGGGCAGTTTGTTTTCTTCCAGCTGTTTCATGTGGCATGCCAGGAAGAACTAGCACAGTCTCAGCTACTCACTGTCTTTTTCAGATAATCCAGCAGGCTGGACAGGTCTGGTTCCCAGACTCTGCTTTTAAAACAGCCCAGGCCATTCGGGACTTCAACCGGGAACACCTCCCACTGATGATCTTTGCCAACTGGAGAGGCTTCTCCAGCGGCATGAAAGGTACCTGTGCTTGGGCTGCACACAGCATGGGAACGTGGTGAGATAAACTTCTGTCACCCCTGCCACCCCACAGGGTCCTGGGATGGCCCAGCCTACCAGGGTATGCACCACTCTGGGATGTGGGGTTGGGTTGGGTTGGGCTAGGGAAGTCATGGGGCATCACAGGGCAGAGGTCCCAGGGGTTGGTGGCTTCCTGCTGGCTGGTTTTGCAGGGTGCTTTGTCTCTCCAATAAGAGAAGGTGGCTTTGGGCAGCTGGGAGGAGGCTGGGGCAGTGGCAATTGGGACATGCAGCCCCTGAGTCCCTTTGGCTTTCAGACATGTACGACCAGATGCTGAAGTTTGGCGCCTTCATCGTGGACAGCCTGCGGGACTTCAAGCAGCCTGTCCTGGTGTACATCCCCCCTCACGCCGAGCTGCGCGGCGGCTCCTGGGTGGTCATCGACTCCACCATCAACCCCCTGCACGTGGAGCTCTATGCTGACAAGGAGAGCAGGTCAGCATCCTGAACACCTCTGTGCGTGTCATCCAAAATACCTGTGTGTGTCAGCTGCCTGGGATTTATTCTTCCCTGCACACCAGTCCTTGCTTTACCAAACTTCCCTTCCAGGGGAGGCATTTTGGAGCCTGGAGGAACAGTTGAGATCAAGTTCAGAAAGAAGGATTTGGTGAAGACCATGAGAAGGATCGATACAGTTTATGCTGAGATTGTTAAACAGCTGGGTAAGGAAAGGGAGTTTGGCATTGTGGACATTGGTGGTGGTAAGTTAAACATGAGGCTCAAGCACTTTGGTGGCAACCACCAGGAGTCCTTTAGTGTCCTGGGAAAACTCTTTATGTCTTTTCTGTTGGTGGAGCTGAGAGGATGTGCTGGTACTTTAGAACACCTCGTATCTCCTGGGGGCTTTGTCAATAGGTTAAATGGGGTTGGGGTCTTCTCCCATGCTTTGAGATGAAGGATGGCCATGGCCACATTGAATTGGTTCCTGATGGATTGGGAGTTCCTTTCCCCCATGTCCCTCCAGCCTGTTACAACATGGTCCCACACAGTCCTTGCAAATGCCATCTCCCCTCTCATGCAGCAGGCACTGAGTGTGGTGTGACCTCTTTGTGTGGCTCTGGTGTCAGTGTGCCAAGGAAAGAGCCGTGGCACTGGGCGCGGTGGCTGATGTGGGAGCACAGGGGGGACGCCCTGGTGGCAGCACCGGGGGGCTGCTCAGCCCGCTGTGTCCCGCAGGGTCCCCCGAGCTGTCGGAGGCGCAGCGCAAGCAGCTGGAGAAGCAGCTGAAGGCGCGGGAGGAGCTGCTGCTGCCCGTGTACCACCAGGTGGCCGTGCGCTTCGCGGACCTGCACGACACCCCGGGCCGCATGCAGGAGAAAGGGGTCATCACGGTGAGCCGGGCACCGGGGAGGGCTCCGAGGTGACAGGCAGAGCTGGGGGGGAAATCCCTTCGCTGTGACATCCCCGCCCTCTGCCCTGCATCCCGCCGGAGCTGGGAGCGAGCAGCCGCCGGCAAACCCGGGCTGTGCTCCGCTTTCCCAGGACATCCTGGAGTGGAAGAGCGCCCGCTCCTTCCTCTACTGGAGGCTGCGGCGGCTGCTGCTGGAGGAGGTGGTGAAGGGGGAGGTGCTGAAGGCCAACAGCGAGCTCAGCCACATCCACATCCAGTCCATGCTGCGGCGCTGGTTCATGGAGACGGAAGGAGCTGAGAAGGTACCCCCAGCCCCGGCTTCCTGAGGCATCCCGAGGGATCACCTCGATCTCCCACCATTCAGAGGTTTCAGTCGTGTTTCAGTGTGTGATGGCAATGTGTGAGGATGGGCAGTGAAGCAGCCCTGGGCTGGGGCTGGCTCTTCAAATCAGCTGACCCCAGTTGGGTACTCGTGCTCAGCGATGGCAAAATGGTCCCCAAATAAACATTTTTTACCATGACAGGGCTTCCCAGGGCAAAAGGGGGGTTTTTAGCATTTAGGTTGCTCTCAAATGACACAGATGTTGCTGTGCCTGCCTCAGGAAGCAGGACATGCAAAGGAACCATGTTTTACCTTTTTGCTTTTTAAATTATTTCGCAGATAGGTGCAGGACAGGGAAGAAAAATCCCATGGCCTGGATTTGAGGTTGCAGGAGGAAGGGGGCCTCTGGCTCTGCAGGCAGCAGGACCCTCTTGCTCACAGTGCTGCTTTCTCCAGGGCTACCTCTGGGACAACAACCAGGTGGTGGTGGAGTGGCTGGAGAAGCACATGCAGGAGGAGGATGGCACCCAGTCAGCCATCAGGGAGAACATCAAGTACCTGAAGCGGGACTACATCCTCAAGCACATCCGGAGGTGAGTGCCTGTGGGAGCTGGGATGAGAAGGAGATCCCTGGAATGGGAATAGCAGGTAGTAGAGACCAGGCAATTCTCACTTCAGCCTCTCAGGAAACCTCTCTCTGCCCTGTGCCTTGCAGCTTGCTCCAGGCCAACCCCGAGCTGACCATGGACTGCATCGTGCAGATGGCTCAGCACATCACCGGGCCACAGAAGGCCCAGGTTGCCCATCTTCTGTCCACAGTGGACACTGATGACCCCTCCTGAGCTGGGCAGTCACCATGGGGTAGGAGAAGCTCCATGACACAGCCAGACCTCACCTGCCCACGTGATTCCTCAGCCCTTGAACTGAAGCCTTGGACTCTTGCTCATGTGCCTAAATAAAGGACACCAGTGCTTTTAAGTATTTTAAGCCATGGAGATGGTCTTGCTATCCATGCAGAGTTCCCTCTGGCACTGGGGGTGCTGCCAGAGGGGCAGCTTGGCAGAAGATGAACTTGTCCTGAGCCAAGCCTGGAATCTGGACCTGGTGCAGAATTTGGTTTTTAAAAGAATCCAAAATATTTTCCTGTTTTAGTTGCCAGCCCTTGGTCTTTCAAACAAGCACCAGGTCAGACACGTCTCATGAGACTGGAACAGAGCTGGAGGCACAGACCCCTGGTCAGGGCCAGTGTCCAGCTGGCTGGGTTCAAGCTGACCAGGCACCAAGACCAGGAAATGAGAAGCAGTCTCCAAGTGATGCTTTATAAACTGTGAGGAGCAATTTCTGTCATCCTTCCCCTTGCTGTGGGGTAAAGAGTAGATGTGGCCATGAGTGCAGGGAAGACCTCAGTGAGCTAATCTGGGAGCTGCTCCTGTGGGAATGTCCAAGGATCCACCAGGCTTTGGCTGACCTGGCTGTGCCTCTCACCCATCTCGTGTCTTTTCTGGCTCCTGCAGAGCATGGAGAGGAGGGAGGATGGCTCCAGCTTCTCCTGCCCCAGTGACCTGATTCCTCCTTGGAAGCAGCAGACCCAGGGGGAGCTGTCACCTGGTGGGACCTGTACCCTGCTGCTCAGGTAGCCTTTGATCATCTCGGTCATGGAGGGGAAGTTTGAAATTTTCCAGTGCCTCTGTCTGTGTCGTTTCCCCAGCACAGATTTACCTTGGGCTCAGAAGGAGGAGGTGGGATGGCAATGGAAGGTGGGACACCTGGCTCAAGTGCAGTGCTGGTATTGCCCTGGGGTGAAGGTGTTGGACACCTCCTGGTCTGGTCTCCCCAGAGTCTGTAGGAGTCTCCCTGTCCTGGGGTGGGGATGGAAGGGTCTTGTGAGCCACTTCCTGGCTGGAAGGTGTCACTGCTGACAGGCAATAAAGTGAGCTCAGCTCCTAGGGAACTCCCTGACCTCTGTGTCTTCTGTCATTGTCCTGTGTCCTGTCATTGTCCTGGTGTGTCTGGCACTGGGCAGCCCCTTTTCTGTGGCACAGGACCTGTTTGGGGTGGGGCAGCTCTGAGCATCCCTCCTGCCAGCCCCTGTTCCCACTCCAGAGCTTTTCCAGGCATTTCAGAGGGTTTCAGGAACAGGGTGACACCACAGAGGAAGAACTCTTAGAGTAAATACCTATAAACTCTTAGAGTAAATACCTATAAACTCTTACAGTAAATGCCTGTAAACTCTTGTTCTCTTGGAGGATTTGAGCCAAGAATCCACCTTCAATTTGGCCATAGGGTCTGTAAAGGGAATGAGGCCTGGGGAAACCCAGCATGACACCAGAGCAGGCACCACACAGCACATCCAGAATGCCCCAGGTGTAGTGCTAAGAAATGTTTATTTAAAAAAAAGCAAAGACATCATAGGTGACACCAGTCACAGCAAAGGATCATTCATCACATTTGTCCTTGGACAATAAATTATGACGTGGAGCATCTTGGTGCCCTTTGGAAGAGGTTGCCAGGGAGGGATGCACTGAGAGGATACAGGCACAGGTGTTTCCAAGCCCCTGATCTTCATATTTTCAAGCAAGAAAGTGCCCTGTGGGGCCACTCCAGCATCCTGCACCCTCCAGCTTTAATCCATGGATGGGTGTGGGAGAGAAAAGCCTGGGAGCACCTGGATACGGCACCGGGAAATTCTCTGAATGCACAGGAACAGACAAAACCCAAGATATAAATATCACTTTTTGCTCACAGAGGTATAAGTAGACTAAATGCTAAATTCCAACATATTTCAGATGTTTCATCACATTATTTGCAATGTATGTTAACAAGTAGAAAGCAGGGTTTGAAATTTTTTTAAAAGCTACATTAGAATCAGGTTTTTTAGTTAATTAGCAAAGACTATTATGAAAGGTACAGTGACAATATTTGGTCTCTGAATTTTTTCAAAAGCATGAGTTTCACAGTATCAAAAGTGCTTATTAAAGAAATGTAGTGTCAAAACTGCTAAGATGCTTGTGGTTCTGATGATGAATAATTTAGTGGCTGTAAAACAGGTTACTGCAGCATTATACAAATTGAACAGTGCTCAGTTCACATAATTTCTTTTCATAACAATAAATATAAATAAATTTACAAATAGTAATACTGCCTAGCACAAGAATAGACAGAAGCACAATACACAAGACTATAAATCTATTTTTTTTAAAAATCCTAAAAATTGGCATAATTCCTAAAATCCTCTAGCCAGTGATTAGTTTAATAGTTCAGTAGTACCACTTCCTTCAGGGGTGAAGACTTTTACAAATCTAGATATAACAGTGGTCTGCTAGGGAGGTGAGTTTTCCTTTTTTAGTGGTTTTGCTCCTTTTTTTCTACCTCCTAACAATAAATTAACAACAGTTACATCAGAAAAGTGTTAGTGGTGCAAATATCTCCAGGAACTGGGGGAGGTCTTTGTCCAATTTGGCAAATTAAGAAAAAAATGACACACCAGGGGCACAATCAACCAACTTGGGGCTGGCCAGCCCCTTGGCTTGTGGTGGCTTCTGTGACAGTGGTGACACAGCAGCTCCACCACAGCGTGGAATAAATTTAATTCCCTTAACTTGGTGATTTTTAGCTCAGTTACATTCCAGTGAAAGTTCCTGCTGCCTTCCAGGTCCTTCTGGAGAGCTCCCCAATCCCACAACACAAGTGTCCATGCCCTTGCCATGGGGGGAAAGTGGTTTTACGAGTCCCAGCTTGATTTATTTTGGCCTCACACGCTGGAAGCAGCCAACACATCCCAAAGCAGGACGAGCCCTTGGAGCTTCCCGGTCGGATTTTAACCGCGGGGAAGAACCGTCCCTCGGGATCCGTGGAACGGTGCCAAGCTCAGAGCAGAGGGATGGGTTTGTTCCCTTGGGGGTTTATGTACTGAGCAGCTGCCACATTGTCCAGGGTGGTGTAGGTGGTGTAAAGGACCTGCAGGTCGGAGAAGGAGCGGTCGCTGCCGCTGGACGCGGGCGTGAGGCCGGGCGTGCCCAGCTCGCAGTCGGAGAGATGCAGGGGGGAGTTGCTGAAGGCACCCAGGGTGTCCAGGCTGAAGCTGTCGTCTTTCATCTCCTCCCAAATGTTCCCTGGAAAAGATGGAATCCTGCTCACAGCAGCACATCCATCCCCAGGTCCCCGGGGCCGGGACTAAAGGGCTTCATTTGCTGCTTGAGGGTGGCACCACGGTAGTGCAAGGGACAGCAAGTCTGGTCCCCCAAATCCTGTGATTCCAGACTTTTCTGGGCACCAAGTGTGTCTGATCCCCGCCCCGCAATTCCTGTGATTCCAGGTCTTTCTGGGAAGCAAGTGTGTCTATCTCTCAAATCCTCTGCTTCCAGACCTTTCCAGACAGCACCTCTCTACCTTTGCTCCACCCAGGACCATGTCAGGCACTGCTACAAACCAGAGAAATTCCACTTGCACAGAAGGAGAGCCCCAAAGCACGAGCAGAGCTCTGTTTTCCCAGGGGCAGAGAGGTGTGGTGTCCCAGATCCAGCTGGTTGGACACCCCTGTTTCCACCCTGCAGTGCCTGCACTGGAGCCAGGAAGGTGCTTTGCTGTCCCACCTGGCACAGGGACAGAATTACTGAGGGTGACCCGGAAAGTCACCCTGCAGATGCCAACACCCAGAACACCCCACTGAGGATCCTGGTTGGATATTCAGTGTTAACACATCCCAAACCCCAGCTGAGCCCTCCTCCAGTACCTTGCAGTGCGAAATCCATGATGCTTGGATCCAGAGCATCCACCTCCGTGCTCATGTCCACCGCCACGTTCGGGAAGTCGGGGGCGCGTCCCAAGGGATGATGGTGGGGCAGGGGGCTGTGGCTCATGTCAGGCAGGGTGTGCAGAGGAGGAGTTTGTGCAGGTGCTGGCGAGTTGGGGGCGAGGCGAGCCTGGGTCTGGAGCTGGTGGTGCAGCGGGAGGGGCTGCAGGGACAGCGTCATGATGGGCTGGGGCTGCAGCTGGGACACGGAGATGCGGCCCAGGGGGGGCCCCTCGGGCTCTGCCTGCTTGCTGGGCCGCCGGCAGCTCTCGGGTCTGTCAGTGATCAGCTTGTCCAGCTCCTCTGCCCATTCCAAGGAGGAAAAGAGATGCTTTAACCCATTTGTCTGGCCAAAGCACAACTGCATTTATGGCATGAATTGATTTTCACAGTGTGAGACCCAACACAGGCTGTAACCGTGCAGGGAGCAAAGAAATGCCACCTAATTCCTTCCCCAAATCCACTTCCATGGTTGTTCCTGACTGAGCTAAAGAAATGATCATGAAACTGCAGAGCAGCCCAGCCACCCCTGATGGCAGCTCACCCCCAGCTGCAGAACTCTGTGGTCAGAGAAACACTCAGAATTCTGCTTATCTCCCAAATAACTACAAAAAACTCCTGACTGTTGCAGTGGCCCTTTTGCTTTTAAACAAATAATATGTCTCTGGCTGCATGTCACTGATTTTGTAGCAAAAAAACTCCAGTTGATTTTGTCAATACTGAGCTCCTGAAAGTTTCAAAAACGTGTTTCTTTATAAATAAGAAATTTTATAAATATGAGGGGAATTATAAATAAGATATAAATAATAAATATTTTATAGATAATATATATATATGACATATAGTATATATATAATATATAGATAGATATAGATATTATAGATATAATATATATCTATATCAATATATATAATATTATAGATATAATATATATCTATATAGATATAATATTAGATATATAGATAGATATATATTATATGATATAGATATAACTACATAATATTTATAATGTTATATCTATTTTAGTATAAATATACTATCAATTGTAGTATAAATAACATTAAATTCTATTTTATAAACAAGAAAATGTCTTAGGAAAGGGAGAGTTTTGCAGAAGAACAGGCAGGAAACAGCATTAAAATGCTTCTCTATGAAAAGTTCATTAAATATGACTCAATATTAAAATACTCCCCCAGACAGTAACCCCAGAGGCAGCAGGGAATGCCATGGATGTGCAGGATGGAGAGGTGGGCCACCAGCCCTACCTGGGTTAGCCATGCTCCTGTGAATAGCAGCCAAATCCTTCCTCTTCCACTTCTGCATCTCCTCCTCCATCTTGTCGATCTTGGCGGGGTTGAGGGCCCACAGGCAGCCCTTGCGGGACGTCCCGCTCAGTTTGTTCTCCACCTTCTCAAAGCACTTGTTCAGGGACAGGTTGTGGCGCACGGAATTCTTCCACCCGTCAGGGGCAGTCTGCCGGGGGCAGGAAGGGGTTAATGGGGGGGAAAGGGGGCTGGGATGTGGCACTTCCAAGCTGGGCAGTGCTCAGGTACCTTGAAGTAGGGGAAGTGCTCCTTCATGAAGCTGTAGATCTCGCTCACGGGCAGGCTCCCGGTCTTGCTGTTCTTCAGCGCCATGGCGATCAAACAGCTGCGGGCAGGAAACCCGGGAATGGCTTGGAACCATGGAGCAGCTTGGGTGGGAAGGGACCTTAAAGCTCACCCAGTTCCACCCCCTGCCACCTTCCACTAGCCCAGGTTGCTCCAAGACACATCCAACCTGGCCTCGGGCACATCCAACCTGGCCTCGGGCACTTCCACAGCTTCTCTGGGCAGCCAGTGCCAGGCCTCGCCACCCTCACAGGGAGGAAATCCTTCCCAAAATCCCATCTAACCCTGCCTCTGGCAGTGGGAATCACTCCTCTTGTCCTGTTCATACCTTCTGATCTAGCAACCTTGCACCCACCTCGTCAGACACAGACAGCTGGGATCCTGGGGTTTCTGTTCCCAAGGGCTCAGAAGTCACAGAATCACAGGATAAACTGACTTGGAAGGGACCCACAAAGATCACCGAGTCCAGCTCCTGGCCCTGCACAGCACCATCCCCAAGAGTCCACATTGCCAAAAGGATTGTCCAAACCCTTCTTCTTGGGCTCTGCCAGGCCTGGTGCTGTCACCACTTCCCTGTGATCCTCAGATTTTACTCCTCTGTGTTGTTTCTCCCCACTGTGCTGCTCTCCAGGAATTACTTTCCTTTTTCACTCCTGCTACCCCTCAGAGGCAGCTTCCACAGAACTCCTGCATGGATGAGGGGATTTGTGTTCCCTTGCAGAGGACTCAGACACCCCTGCAGTGTCACAGCCATCCCAGGACAGGCTGTAGGAATGTGCTCCCTGCTCCCCACTCACCTGTAGGAATAGATGGGCTTGGGATAATGCTTTGGGTGCAGTTCCTGGGCAGAGTGGGGAGCCAGGCGTGGCTGGGAATAGTGTGGCTGTGCCCCATAAGAGGTGTTGTAGATTGCTGCTGGGTTACACTGTGTGCAGAGGGAAAAGAAGGGAAATGACAGATGCAAAATGTCCAGTGGGTGTGTGGGTTTAGGGATGTTTTGATTTTCTTTTAAAAAGATATCTAGATTTGATCTTGGCAGGTACTTCAAGACAGACAACAAGCACATACCAGTACCTGCTGGGGGGTCTGGGCCAGGGCAAACACCTGCTGGGAGTGAGGAGGAGGAGGAGGATGAGGAGGATGAGGAGGATGACTCTCCGGAAAGAGCTGTTGCTGTGTTTGCAAACCAGGGGACAGCTGCCCACCCAGGGCGTAGGGGCTCATCTGTTGAGAGAAACACACCAGTCAAGGAATTCCCACCACCTTGTCCCAGGAGCTGGGGCAATGATGAGCCACCAAGGCCTGCTCTTACATTGGCTCCGTGTGCTGAAATGGAATTGAGGCCCAGGATTCCCTGTGGGAGGCTGGCCTGGACGTGGATCATCGCTCCGGGCGTCGAGTGCATCGCGTTCCCCACAGCACCTGGCGTGGAGAGAGGAAGGCAAGGGATGCTCCCATGGAAGCACAGCTCAGGGAAGGGGGTTAATAGATGCAGCTGAGCACAGGGAAGCTCTGGAGTGGAGAATGCAACCTCTCTGGCTTTTCACAGCTTGCCCAGATGACATCAGCTGCTCCCAAAACTCGTTAGGCAGGGAATGAGAGGCAGCAGCTGTTTAACAGCCCACGGTGGTGACACAGACACTGTGTCTTACAAAAGAGAAGCAGCACATTCAGCATGAGCTGGATTTGTGCTCTCAGGCAGGCAGGGTGATATTCTGAGCTCTGTGTTTGCCTAAAGGATGTTCACAGGGGAAAGAAAGGAGTTCAACCAACACACGCTGCGAGGCTGCAAGAAGCAAAGAGGTGTGAGGTAAATGAGGTGCCCTTTGTTTTATCAGTGTTGAAACAAAGCAGAAAGATTAATGATCTCATTTCAGAGCTGTTGAAAACCTCTAAGACCCAGGACTTAAAATACCTCAGCCCAGCAAGTCACCAGCAGCTGCACTGAACAGAAATTCCCATGGGATCTGAGTGTTGCCAGTGCTGGAGCTCTCTCCCTCTTGGAATGGGGAGAAGGCACCAGCAGAGTCCTCATGAGAAGCCAACAGGCTCCAGGTCTTTGCACAGGAAGCAAAATGTAAAAGGATAAGGAAAGGGAGCCTGAGGGGGAGTGGCAGGGGCAGGCTGTGCTGTTTAGGGAGCAGTTATTCCCTATTCCCATTTCCCAGCCCACTGTACCTGTCTGCTGGAGCATGGCATTCTGGGCCCCCAGGCTGAAATCCATTCTCCCACTGGCCATCTGCTGGAGCCGAGGCACATCCACGGATGTCAGCCAGGACAGGGACTGCAAATCCCCGGGGAGCTCATCCTCACTCAGCTGGGATGGGTCTGAGGCCAGGAGTCTGCAAAGCAGCAGGGAAAGTTAACAGGGAGCAGGAATTGCTGTGTTGTCCCTGGAAAGAGATGGATGGGGTGCCAAAGCTCCTGCAGGTCAGGGGAAAGAACCACCAGGCTGGAATTCTGTATCCAAATCCAGATGTGCCCTGTGGTTTCACAGCTGGTTACTGACACCCTTTACCTGGTCTTGTGTTCCTTTGTCCAGTCTGAAACATTTTGGTTAAGAAAACCTCTTGTGGTTTTCTTAAATGTAGGAGAAGAAGGGCCAAGAACCCAGCAGAGAAACTGCCTGGAAACAAACCCAAACTGATTCCTTATTTTCACATCTGTCAGAAATTTGCACTTGTTTGGCTTTGATGGGGGAGAAACCAGGACTTAGAACCTGGTCATTCTGTATTAACCCTGCAATCCAGAGCCTTGGAAGGAGCTCAGCTCCTGGGGAATGTGTGTATGCTGCTGCTGCTGGAACACCTGGGAAAACTTATCCCAGCCCCTGGATCCTGTCAGTGGTGACAGACCAGCAGCTGCACAAAAAGAACTTCACAGACTGAACTGCTGATATCTTCCATTCAGATACATGAAGTTATTGATACTTAAAAAAACAATTTTTAGGCAGTTTTTGACAGAGTAAAGGACCAGAATGAAAGGTTTGAGACTGGAGGCATGGTATCTGCCAGGCACCAGCAACAACATCAGGCACAGCTGTGACAGGCTGCTTTTAGTTTAAAGCTCTCCTTTTGACACCTTTTACATGCTCCAGATCACCTGTTTTGCTTTGCTTCTGACAGAGCATGTGGTACAAAACGGGAATATTAGAATGTATTTTCAGTACTCAAAAATTCCTGTGTGGTCCAAACTCCCTGTTAAAGTCGATAAAAGAACTCTTGCAAATGCAAGGCTAAATTAATTAATTTATGTGGAACAGTATTACAGGAGTCAGTGGTACCTTGAGGAGTAAAGCAGTAATGAGGACATGTCAGGACGTTGTCACTCGACACCCAGGGTAAACCTAAAGGGATTCAGATCCGGGAAAACATCTTTATCTCTCAGAAGAACATAATTTAGTTGGATGCAGTTGATTTTGCTTTCAAACCCTTTTGCTTTCAAGAGCTCTCAGAGATGTGTTAAAGTGGTGTCTGCTGCTGATGTGTGTTTGCTGCCAAGTGATGCTGCAGAAACCTTAAATAAATCTGGTCTCTCGCTGAAACATCTTTTATGTTTTACACGACTCTAAACCAGCTTAAAAGAGCAAGGCAGGACTTCAGTGCCTGCCTGCCCTGGAGCTTTCAGTTCCTCTATTCAGGAATTCCAGAAACACCTATCAAGGCTCCCTGAACCACTGTCGGGGAGATCTTTAAGGCAAAACGCCACTTGTTTGCAAAAAGATTTTGTAAAGGAGAAAAAGGGGGGGAAATCAACACGGGACCAAGAGCCAAAGGAAATCTCCCTCTTCAAATCTCCCTCGCAGCGTTCTCTCTCCTACTGTAGTTATAGGGCAATAATTAGCATTGCCATGGTTACGCCGTTATTTCGCGAGGCTTGGGGACTTCCATCCATTTACAAAAAAAACCCCAAAAAAACAACAAGCACCAAAAAAAACCCCCAAACCATCAGGTGACGGCTCTCGCGGCGCTGAGATTGGCTGGATTGGAAGAAAACAGGGGCACGAAATGATTTGAAAAGTGGGCAGGCTCGGGGTCGTTCGCAACAGTTGGTTGGTGCGGGGGGAGCCGCGGGCGCTTTGTGCGCCCAACGCCCGCGCCCGCGGCACGTGGCCCCTTTGTCTTTGGGGACCCCGCTTAATTGTCGCCACCCCCCCCACCCGCTCCTTTTTTACAAACCTCCCATTAATCTGCCCCGAGTGACAGGCGACACACAACACACGTCCCCGCGCCATCTGGCACCCCGCGCCCTGCCCGCCCCGGCGGCACGAACGGGGTCAGCGCCCGCGGCTCGGGCACGGCACCGCCGGGTCCGGGGGATCGGCATTCCCGGCAAGGGCCGGCATTCCCGGGTCCGGGGGAATCGGCATTCCCGGCCCGGGTCAGCATTCCCGGGCCAGATCAGCATTCCCGGGCCAGGTCAGTATTCCCGGCCCGGGTCAGTATTCCCGGCCCAAATCAGCATTCCCAGCCCAGATCAACATTCCCGGTCCGGGTCAGCATTCCCAGCCCAGATCAACATTCCCGGGCCGGATCAGCATTCCCAGCCCAGATCAGCATTCCTGGCCCGGGTCAGCATTCCCGGGCTGGGTCAGCATTCCCGGGTCAGCATTCCCAGCCCAGATCAGCATTCCCGGCCCGGGTCAGCATTCCCGGGTCAGTATTCCCAGCCCAGATCAGCATTCCCGGCCCGGGTCAGCATTCCCGGGCCAGATCAGCATTCCCGGGCCAGATCAGCATTCCCGGGCCAGGTCAGTATTCCCGGCCCGGGTCAGTATTCCCGGCCCAAATCAGCATTCCCAGCCCAGATCAACATTCCCGGTCCGGGTCAGCATTCCCAGCCCAGATCAACATTCCCGGGCCGGATCAGCATTCCCAGCCCAGATCAGCATTCCTGGCCCGGGTCAGCATTCCCGGGCTGGGTCAGCATTCCCGGGTCAGCATTCCCAGCCCAGATCAGCATTCCCGGGTCAGCATTCCCAGCCCAGATCAGCATTCCTGGCCCGGGTCAGCATTCCCGGGCTGGGTCAGCATTCCCGGACACTCATTCCCAGCCCAGATCAGCATTCCCGGGTCAGCATTCCCAGCCCAGATCAGCATTCCCGGCCCGGGTCAGCATTCCCGGGTCAGTATTCCCAGCCCAGATCAGCATTCCCGGCCCGGGTCAGCATTCCCGGGCCAACCGCGGCTCCTGCCTCGCCCTCACCCGGGATGCACCCAGTGCCCGGCAGCCCGTGGGAAGGTGGGACAGCGTGTCCCGCTCAGCATCCGCTCCAGGGACAGGGATAGGGGCAAGGAAAGGGTCAAGTCAATGGTTTCCCTTCCCTTCCCTTCCCTTCCCTTCCCTTCCCATTTGAGTTTACAGTTCTTTCACAGTTTGAATTTGAGTTTACAGTTCTTTTAAAACCACCTCAGCCTGTCCACTACACTTCTTTTAAAAATGGATTTGCTAGTTATCAGATTAGCATTCTGTTAAAAATGAAGGAAAAAGCAAATTCAATCAGAATTACATCCCTGCCTGTGGCAGGTTGAAACAAGATATTTAAGGTCCCTTCCAACCCAAACCATCCTGGGATTCTGTGATTCCATGATTTGGTAATTCTATGATTCCATGATTTCAAGTTTAAAAATTGTTCTTCAGGCTGCCTTCACAACCAACATTGAGATCTCTTATGTCTTAAAGAAGGTGAAATTTTAAATTCCCATTGCTGCCTGGCTGAGGAGTTTTAAAAGTCTGGGGATATTCTGCAGCATAAACCCAGCACGTCTCCCAGGCCACAGGCTCAATGTGTGCCCTGCTTCCAGTGAAGAAATTCTAATTTAACTGCAAAAAAAAGAGAGAGCCAAGCAGAGGAACAACCAACACTGTCATCTCCCGTGCTTCAATCTTCCTGACCTGCAAATTGCCTGTGCCAAGACAGCTACAGATCCATAAATACATGTTGGAATACCAGGTGGGATTGGATTCTGTTCCCCACCACCACCCTGCTCATCTCAATTTGGAGGACAAACTCCAGGAGGAGAGACTCCAGGAGGACAGACTCCAGGAGGATAAATTCCAGGAGGATAAACTCCAGGAGGACAAACCTCCAGGAGGATAAACTCCAGGAGGACAAACTCCAGGAGTCAGCTCCTGCCTCTGGCTGGGTGTTCACAGCCCCTGGCACAATGGGGCACTGTGGTAAAAGCAGCCTTTCAGTGCATGTAAATGAGATAAATAGTAATAGGCTGTAATTAATGCACTGCTGAGCCTCCCCTGCTCCTTCCCAGGGCTCCTGGAACAGCCACGGAGCCTCTGAGCCCAGCAAGGGGAGGCTGCAGTCCCACCAGGTGTGTTGGAAATGTGGTGTTGCTCTTCAGGGTGTGGTGAAATGATGCAACTCCACTTTCACCCCTCTGCTTTTAACTCTCTGCAGGAAAACATCCCTGCTTCTGTTTCTCTCCTGCAAAGATGAGAATCCAGAGGGTGCTGAGGGTTTAGAGTCCAGCTCTCCTGTGTATCCCAGGATGCTGATCCTGTGAAAAGTGCCTGGAAAACTGGGTGTGATACAGAAATGCTCCTTGGCACTGTTAGTCTTTACGATCTGCTCTGGAGTTGTCTGCCCAAAATATTTATCCCATCAGGGTAATCGGATCAGGAACACCTTGGAATGGGACCCCTTTCCAGATCTGATCCTGGCAAAGTTCACCAGAGCCTGCCAGCAGCACAAAATCCTCACTCACAGCCACCTAAAGGTATCTCCACATGTTTCTCCCCACCATCAAGAGCATCCTGCTGGCACAAAGTGGAATTGGAGTCATTCCTGGCCTGGCCTTGCAGGAGTTTAACACCAGAGCTGGATCTGAGCCTGAACTCACCAGTGGGGCTTTGCCACCTTCCCTCAGGCTGAGCTCCTCACCTTGGGAACCACTGCCAGGAGAACTATCCATGAATTGTCCACCTCCAAATTGCATGGGATGGTGAACTCATGGCTGGAGACTGTGGGGATTCATCTCATCAGCCTCCACCTGAAACAGAGCCAGGCCAAAACCCCACAGCTGCATTTGGGATATTCCAGGGCTTTAAGTCTCACTCAATGGACAGGGTTTTTCCCCATTTTCAGCACTGCTACCTGAGTTTTTAGCCCAGGCTTAGGTGACACAACTGCTCAACAGGCAGGAGCAATTGGGTGATAGGTTCTTAATTAGCTGTTTGCAATTGTTTATCCAGTCAGAGACAATTGGACAGGAAGAGTCCAAAGAGAACCTCTTCTAGAATTGGTGTTTTCCTTTGTCTGGGATTATACAAAATCCTCAGGGCAAGCACAGAGAGTTCTTATGTGCAAGACAAGGAAAAGATTTGTATTGTGACGCTGCAACT